GTAAAATAAAACATAGGTAATCAGAGATTACAGAGCTCACCTCAATGAATGTTGTCTTTAAGTAAGGAAAAGTCCCACACTAAACTAATAATCTAGGAATGTGCATCCCTAGATGCAACATTTATGCAATTTTGGTCTGATAGGGCTTGCAGTTACTTGTGAATAGACTTATCTGAAAACTTAAAACTAGTCACTCATCCAGAAAATGTAAGTCAAATCCAGCATCCGAAGCAAGTTTTTGAGATTGTTCGTCCCTTGATGCATCATCCATGCAAGTTTGGTTCAGATACGCCTTATAGTTACTTAGAAATGAGATCTGCTCCAAAAACTTTAACCTGGTCACTCATCCGGAAAATATAGGTCAGATTCAGCTCCGAAGCAAGTCCAGTAGTGTGCATCCTTAGATGTATCATCTATGCAAGTTTGGTCAATATAGGGCTTATAGTTACTTGGAAATGAGATCTGCTCCAAAAACCTTAACCTAGTCACTCATCCGGAAAATATAGGTCAGATCCAGCATCCGCAGCAAGTCCAGTTGTGTGCATCCTTAGATGTATCATCCATGCAAGTTTGGTCAATATAGGGCTTATAGTTACTTTGAAATGAGATCTGCTCCAAAAACTTTAACCTGGTTACTCATCCGGAAAATGTAGGTCAGATTCAGCATCTGAAGCAAGTCCAGTAGTGTGCATCCTTAAATGTATCATCCATGCAAGTTTGGTCAATATAGGGCTTTTAGTAGCTTGGAAATGAGATCTGCTCCAAAAACTTTAACCTGGTCACTCATCCGGAAAATATAGGTCAGATCCAGCATCCGAAGCAAGTCCAGTAGTGTGCATCCTTAGATGTATCATCCATGCAAGTTTGGTCAGTATAGGGCTTTTAGTAGCTTGGAAATGAGATCTACTCCAAAAACCTTAACCTAGTCACTCATCTGGAAAATGTAGGTCAGATCCAGCATCCGAAGCAAGTCCAGTTGTGTGCATCCTTAGATGTATCATCCATGCAAGTTTGGTCAATATAGGGCTTTTAGTAGCTTGGAAATGAGATCTGCTCCAAAAACCTTAACCTGGTCACTCATCTGGAAAATATAGGTCAGATCCAGCATCCGAAGCAAGTCCAGTTGTGTGCATCCTTAGATGTATCATCCATGCAACTTTGGTCAATATAGGGCTTATAGTTACTTTGAAATGAGACCTGGTCCAAAAACTTTAACCTGGTCACTAATCCGGAGAATATAGGTCAGATTCAGCATCCGAAGCAAGTCCAGTAGTGTGCATCCTGAGATGTATCATCTATGCAAGTTTGGTCAATATAGGGCTTATAGTTACTTGGAAATGAGATCTGCTCCAAAAACCTTAACCTAGTCACTCATCCGGAAAATATAGGTCAGATCCAGCATCCGCAGCAAGTCCAGTTGTGTGCATCCTTAGATGTATCATCCATGCAAGTTTGGTCAATATAGGGCTAATAGTTACTTTGAAATGAGATCTGCTCCAAAAACTTTAACCTGGTCACTCATCCGGAAAATATAGGTCAGATCCAGCATCCGAAGCAAGTCCAGTAGTGTGCATCCTTAGATGTATCATCCATGCAAGTTTGGTCAGTATAGGGCTTTTAGTAGCTTGGAAATGAGATCTACTCCAAAAACCTTAACCTAGTCACTCATCTGGAAAATATAGGTCAGATCCAGCATCCGAAGCAAGTCCAGTTGTGTGCATCCTTAGATGTATCATCCATGCAAGTTTGGTCAATATAGGGCTTTTAGTAGCTTGGAAATGAGATCTGCTCCAAAAACCTTAACCTGGTCACTCATCTGGAAAATATAGGTCAGATCCAGCATCCGAAGCAAGTCCAGTTGTGTGCATCCTTAGATGTATCATCCATGCAACTTTGGTCAATATAGGGCTTATAGTTACTTTGAAATGAGACCTGGTCCAAAAACTTTAACCTGGTCCAAAAACTTTAACCTGGTCACTCATCCGGAAAATATAGGTCAGATTCAGCATACGAATCAAGTCTAGTAGTGTGCATCCGGAGATGTATCATCTATGCAAGTTTGGTCAATATAGGGCTTATAGTTACTTGGAAATGAGATCTGCTCCAAAAACCTTAACCTAGTCACTCATCCGGAAAATATAGGTCAGATCCAGCATCCGAAGCAAGTCCAGTTGTGTATCATCCATGCAAGTTTGGTCAATATAGGGCTTATAGTTACTTTGAAATGAGATCTGCTCCAAAAACTTTAACCTGGTTACTCATCCGGAAAATGTAGGTCAGATCCAGCATCCGAAGCAAGTTCAGTGGTGTGCATCCTTAGATGTATCATCCATGCAAGTTTGGTCAATATAGGGTTTATAGTTACTCGGAAATGAGACCTGGTCCAAAAACATTAACCTGGTCATTCTTTAGCTGAAATTGCAGCATCTGAAACCTTGACTGGTACAATGAAACACACTAGAAGCATCCTCCATGCATCTCTGACTAATATAGGCCATAGAAGTACTTGAAAAGAAAACTGCTCCAAAAACCTTAACCTGGGACGCCGACGCCGATGGTATTACATAAGCTCCCCCAACTTCGTTGAGGTGAGCTAAAAATCATCTGTGTAATTTATAACATTTTATATAAATTATTAACTTTTTACAAAATGGCAAATGTTTGTCAAAATGGTATTTGTCATCTCACTTGATGCCTGGTAAAAAAAAAGGGGGGGGGGAAGGGAAGATAAGATATGACAAACAGAATGCATTCTTAATGTACACTGTTTCAATAGGTGAATCATCAACACTGCTACATCTATTTTACTTCATTTCACTATATATATATATATATATATATATATATATATATATATATATATATATATATATATATATATATATATATATATATATATATATATGACATATGGCTTTAGGAGACCAAGGAGGATATATTTTCTGGCTTAGGGAGACCACTGGATTAAGGCGACCTTTTTCGGTCTCCCTATTATTTTGACCTCATCAGTATTGCAAATGTCTTTTTATAGATAAATAAACAGTCTGCCATTAAATATTATTAATCTTTAACTCTGTTATTTAACATTCAAAAGTTGTCTAATTCCTATCATCTTCCCTAAAAAAGAAAAGAATGTATAACCTACGTATAATTTCAAAGGATAATTTTTCTGCATTTTGGAGACCATGAAAAACATGCAATTAAACAAAAAATCTAGCATATATATTTTTTCCGCTTTTGATATGTTCAAATGAGTGTTTCTTTAACTTAGTTTTCCACTTTTTATGTTAAAAACCTAAAAAGGAAAAATATTGTAAATTTATGGACCATGTTTTGAATTCTTAGCAAGTGCTTTCCGTCATTTGTTCCGAATGCCATCGGAATGCCTCTTCAGTTTTCAGAAAATGACCTCTGAACACCATGAATGTTGAGAAATTTGGGTAAGTAACTAAAATGATACAGTAATAAGTTGTAATTAAGAATACGCAAGACAAACATTCGTGTTTTTTTTTTTTTTTTTTTTTGTTTTTGTTTTGTTTTTTTGCCTAGTAATTTAGCTTTTAAGAGAAAAAGTATGATTTTAAATAATCATTAGACTATAGTTCGGTATATAAAATCCTGAAGGAAATTCGAAATAAAGTTAAATGATAGGCCCCTATATTTTTAATTCTTTTATGCAAGTCCACAAACAAATTGCAGAAAATATTTAAAGATTAGGCCGAACGTAGAAAAAAATAGTCTCGCAAGTTGACGCAGCTATGTCGAGCTTAAAAATTTAAATTAAACTTTCTGTAAACATCATGCAGGACATGATCATCATGATATAGTATAAATGAAACAGACCCTGTAAGAAAAAAATAGCTGTAATTTAATAATTATTTATTAATATAATGTGGTCCTCTGCTGTTAAAATACATATGCAGTAAAAAAAGGGTGAAGCAGATTTGATACAATACATGGCTGAAGGAACGTACGAAATGAAATTTAGGTATACTATAGAAAACATTGCTCCTTTATGTTTGGACCCCCTCAATAATAACCTCTGATGATCTATTTTTTACTTTTGCTTTTGGCCCCCCTAAATAATAACCTCTGGTAATGTATTTTTCTTTTGCTTATTAAGAAATTTTTAGTTTGTAGCCTCCCCCAACCTGAAACTGAAAAATGTTGTTTGGTTGTGCTCACCCCCCCCCCCCCTCCAACTAAATTACGTACGGGCCTATTCTCCATCCCTGAGGTTTTCTTTCACCAAAGAAAGATTAATTGGTAACAGTTCAGATATATAGCAATATTTACGGAAGGGAATATTCTCGTTTAATTATGAAGATGTGACAGTAACTAAATGTTACACAGTGAGTGTAACATTTATTTAATATTATTGTAACAGTTAATGTTTACAAATAGTGAAATACTGATACTATGAAATTTTAATGGATATATAGAAAATATACAAGTACAACCATTATTGTAAACCACATACACGAAAAGCTTTTTTTTTTCCAAGCAATTGGAAATTCTTTACAAATCATTATCGCAGCCTAGTTCCCTTCATTATTTTCAGCAGTTCAGTGACGGAGATAAAATGATCATTTGGGGTTTATACCCCCCCCCCCCCACCACCACCAAATGAAACTAAAAAATGTTTGGTTTTGGTCCCCTTCAACTGAAATTGATTCCTACTTACCATGCTTACAGGCTTAACTATGAAGATGTGACAGGGAGTGTAAAAACAATAATTGTTCAGACGTATACATAAGCTGATATAAATATCAAATTTTAATGGATAGATAGAAATTAATATACAATTACAACCATTTATTATAAACTACATAAAGATAATTTTTCAAGCAATTTGAAATTCTTCATTTTTTAAGATAATATTGTATTTCGTATATATATGTTTATAGGTTTATTCGTATCAACAAATCTGTGTACGAGTTAATAACGCACCCTGGGTTCCCTGCATTTTCAGTGACAGAGAACCAGATATAAGAATGCAGGGAAAAAAGCCTTGTTACAAGGTTTGAGGTTTGTTTATTTTATATTTTAATTTACACTTTTTTAAAATTATTATGCAAAACTCTGTGTGCAGATGAATATTTACATTTTAATGTTATAAGTCGTTTTGTGGTTCATTTATTTGCGGTGACTGTCCCACGTGTGTTTACCTGTTTACATTCACCTACTGACAAAATATACCTTCTGTAATCATGACTGTTGTAATCTTGTTTTTATGTTAGTTTACCATATGTAACTTGACTGTTGTATAGATTTATAGCGATCACTGCAAGCTTTTAATATTTATGTGAAGAGAAATTTCAGACTATCAATCACAGGCACTTGTTTCATATACGGTGCACCCCTACTTATTTTTACCACAAGGTATCTAACTCAATTTTAGGCACCCTGCTTCAAGCTCGTATTTTGTTCATATATCAATCATTAACCTACTTTAAAATGACATTGTTCGCTTCATGAGACTTTTTTCTTGTCAAATAAATCGTTTCAGACGTCTCTGGTCGAGACTCTTTATTGTAGAGCACTCATTTATTCCTCGAAAATTACCTTGATACATTGTTAAATTTAAGACTTTAGATGGGATACAACTTCCAGTTGGGGTAGAATAAAACCAGAGACTTCCAAGTATTCCATTCCGAGGTCTCTGGTTTTATCCTTCATTTATAACCCCAACCGCAAATTTGTTTTGAAAATTACCTTGATACATCTTAAGACTTTAGATGATACAAATTTCATTTTTTTCACAGGTCACAGGGTTTCAACTTAAAAAATAAAAATTCTCACCGTTAAGATATGTTGGAAATTTTAGCGTGATATGTTGATAATTTGCCAAATTATTATGTAATAAAAGGGACTTTATATGATCACCCGGCGCTGTCACTTTAGTTCAGTCTTCACAACAATTCTTTTTCAGCACATGCCCTTCGGGCATGTAGACCTATCATTTTTACCCAGCGCATTCAAATTTGTACATGCCCTACTCAAAATTCTTACATTTACCAGTATTGTGCTACAAAAAAAAACATTAGGTATAAAGGTTTTATATTAATTTTTTCAGCATTGTATTTCTCCGTGACTGTACCACGTGTGTTTATTCACCGTGATTGCCATTTTCTAAAGCGTTTTTGTTCATTAATAACTTTTGAGTTGCATGCTGGTCATTTGTTGGCAGGTTTAGCTGAACTGAATTTCAGAAATGGGATCATGACTGTAGTGCCACAGTATGTGGCATCGATGAACGTCTCGTAATTTAGCAAGAAACTTCGAGAAAACAAATAGGTTAAACTAAACACTTCAATGATTAGATTGACAATCATTTGACAGGTCGTATCGAGAATGTAGACAGGCAATCCATCTAAGACATTACATATAGCAACGTTTACGGGAATAATGGGGGTAGGACAGAATAAATGGCAAGTAAAGATCGTACAATGAAAGAAGATTCACATATGCCCTCTTCGGACATGTAATTTGACAATTTTTACATGCCCAGCTGCAAATTTAACAGGTCCCTGGCATTGGACTCCCGGGTTATTTGGAAGACTGTTAGTTTAGTTTCATGAGGTCCGACAACATTGTTTCTCAATGTCTGCTCCCTCTACCCCATACACTTATCTTGATAAAATTATATAAATTATATTATTAATTACCCTGGTATATAAATTGTATAAACCGGTCTTGTTATAAATTATATAAACTGGTCTTGTTTATATAATTTTACAATGTCATAAACAGCTGCTTAAGTGCATATAATATTGTATTAAATGGATTTATATATAGGATTAGGGAAAGATCCTCACTTGATTATGCCAGCATATTTTGCTCGTAGGAGTTTATTATCTACCACACATGATCAATGTCACTTTTGGACGTGAATGACTTTTGACACCCTAACTTCAGTTCAAATCAACGTTAACTTTATGTGACGTCTTTCTGAATCTTTTTTGGCATGTAACTTGGGTAAAAACAATTAAAGTACTCTCGATGCATTTGATTTCTCTTAGCCCGTTTAAACATTTCCTAGGTCTATACCAGTTTTTGCAGGGGCGAAACTATATAGAAGTTGGAAAAGAAACCTATCCCCTTTTTGACGTATTTGGTTTTCAAGGGGTGAAAATTTTCAATGTTACACTCAACTACATGCAACATTTATTATATTATACTGAATGTTTTATACAAATACAAATAATAGTGAACCTTGAGCGCATAAATCTGTGCAGTCACTATTTTTTGGAATATCACCCGTCGTCAAGCAATGTTGACTGTTGCGACACTGGAGGGCGTGGCTTCATTATTCAGTGGGTAATAGTGCTTTTTAACAAATGTTTCTTGACGAATCAGATTGATTCATTTAATATACCTGAAAGTACAATATTAATTAATTGTCATCATTTTCCTATATTAGCTTTTTACTGGTAATGGTTTTGAAATGATAGGAACATGCACTGTTCAAAAAGTCTTAAAATGTTGTTTTGGCTCAATTTCTTTGTTAGATTACTGTGTTGAACTAAGGCAGGTCAATTAAAGTAACATGATCCAATAGATTCCATGTACATTTAGTACTGTAAAGTAGACAAATTTATTGTTCTCACAAATATTTCTCAAATATTGATTTAAGTTGGTCTCCTGAAGGATGTATTAATGCAATTGGTCTGCTTAAGGTATAATATAGACATGCATATTTTATTTTGAATTTGTATTATGTCAATCATTAGAAATATATGGATCTTAATTAAAAAACATTGTTTTTATTAGAATTTAAGATATGTATAATAGGCATATATTCTTCATGCTTTTCCATAATTAAGTCCTTTTTTACAGGGTCTCTGCTAGAATCACGTGGACCCCAGTGTAACACATCTATGGAAAGAGAGAAAATCTCAGCTCAAGGGTCAACATGTCTTTATTCCAAGAAAGGTAAATTGATAATTTTTTTCTGCTAAAATACTCTTTTATAAATTATAATATCAATGCAAAAGAATGAACAAACAACATACCTAACAACATTTTGAAAATGAAAGTGCAATAACAGTTAATAATTATGATCAATTGAATGAATGTTAGGCCAACTTTTTTTTATATTCTGTTTTACGGGAGCGCCGACCCTAATTTGGGCTAAAATGAAATAAAAATAAAAGTCCCCAATTCAAGTTTTATTTTTATTTCTCCCGCCGATAGTTTATTTATAGTCTCTGAAAAAATAAAAAAAAATATAAATAACCTTTTTACAAGCCTTTCAAAATGCGATTTGTCATTGGCTGAGGTAAATAGATTCATCCAATCACAGTATTCGTTGCGTGGTGTCAATGTTATATATTAGAAAAAGTATAAATTTTAATGAAAGATTGAATGAAATAGACGAATCAGTGATCTTGATCAAATGTCATGCGGAGGGCCACGTGGAAATCGAGGTTCTGTCAACCGCTTGTTTTGAAAGGTTCTGAGTACGTATTATCTTTGACAATTGCTTCAATACATTGAAATACGTCTTGAAGATTTTTTAAACTTAATTTTAAGACAGAAATGTTTTCTTTTACAAGTAATGACAGAACACTAGAACTATGTAGAACTGGTAGAAAGTGGCGTGACTGAGGAAATTCGAGTCACAACTTTCACTCGTTTTATGACAAATATTGGAATTCAGAATTACCTACGAAGATATATCAGTATATATGCTTGATGCTTGATTGATACAAGACATTATCTCCTTTTTTATTGCTTTATGGAATTTTGCGTGCTATGTAACAAATTAATGTACATTGATTGTTCAGCGTATTCATATCAGCTGATGTAGTGTATATGTATAGCTCTTGTTTAGTAAAACAACTTTTTTTTTACCACTAGGGAAAAGTATTGTTGTAAATGATACGCCCTTACAAATATTATTTCAATTCAAGACCTGGTTTCTTTTTTCATTCAACAGTTGTGGATTAGGACCATTTTCAACAATTAAATTTTTAAAAATTCTGCAGTAAACAGAATATTGTCATGTGTATTTTACATGTGTATACTATGGGAAAGATGTGTATTTTCTACAATTATATTGAAAGTTAGCATGCTCAGAAAGAAAACATAAGGATAAAAAGATATATATACTACAGATTGAGGAAGTTTGAATATGTTTTCAATAGAGATATTGTGGTACTTTTTTCAACCTACGTATATATTAATTGGAAGTGCGTTGAAAAAAAAATATTATACAACTTTTCTTTTTTTCATGTCTCATGTGCACTTCTGTGAATTAATTTATTTTAGCTGATCCATTGAATGTCTCACTGTATTTTCTACATAACTTTGCCAGAACTAGTCCAAAATCCTCAGATCTTGTAATTTGCTGAATACCGAAAAATAAAAGATTCTGAAAAGTTTATGAGGGGTGTGACAGAAGTCCTATAGGTTTACTGTGGTGACAATATGATATTTGACATTTGAGAGAAGACTATAGATTTGTATGTTTGATTTGCATTAATGTTAGAAACTGCAAGCTTTATACTAGAAATGCACCCCTGCTCCAAATATCTAAGAGAAAGTTAAATTTAAAATAGTTCATTGATCCATTAACAGTACCAATTCTGTGTTTTGTGTACATAAGTTTTTCAAATAGCACTGTTTTTCTAACAAATTAAGGTCATACAAATAAAATTCCAACCTTAATTAAAAATAAAAAATTTTATTGCATTTTTTCATTTTATTTTTATTTTTCTGACCGACTGCTTAAATTCCGAGCTTTTATTTTTATTTTTATTTCGACCCCCCGACTCAAATTTTTGAAAAAAATTCCCATAAAACAGAAAATAAAAAAATGTTGGCCTTAATAATCCAATCAAAGTCCTTGTTGTATATCATTTTTGCTAGGGCTGTGTATTGAGCAAAAAAAAAGAAGAAGACATTTTTTAATGCGATATGCAATATATTGGATTCTTTAACAATTCTGTCAAAAAAGTCTTATAAATCATTATGCATGAATTTTATAAAAATAATAATTGTTTTGCAACTCATTTTTAATTTTTTGTCTCACTGTCTTTAAAAATTACACTTCAAATTCAAACTTTTCTTGACTGTAAAATCAACATGCTAAGTAAAGTTGTCTATGTATTTTTATGATTTTGTAATAATCATCTAAGATGTGCTACCTCCTTAACGATTATATCATTTTTGATCAGTTTTAATTCAAAACAGTTAAATATAATCTTTGGTGATTGAAATTCCCAACTTTTTCACAGAATTACATAAAAAAACTGCCTGCCCAAAATGTATTGGAATTAAGTTATTTTTTGGATACGATATATTCATTAATCTAGATATGTATCAATATATTTGGTGCAGCCCTAATTATTGCTGGTTCATAAATAACTAAAAAATAAACAAATGCCAAATGTTGGCATGGTTGGCATTGCAACTGTATCTTACACATTCAAATCAGGCCATTCTTACAAGTTTTGAAACATGTTGGATTCTTCACTAGTGCCGCTACTACAGAGAAGACAGCTTGTTTATAAACTGTGTCATTCAAAGTTTCAGTATATATATGAGAAACACAACAAATCTGAATGCTTAGCCATTACACTAAATGATGAATCTACTTTATTGTGTTATTTATTGACATTTGACAATCATGATTTATAAATCATTTTGAAATTTTTAAAAACAAATTAAAGCAATTCCCATCAATTCCTCCCTAGACAAATATATTAATGATAATTTTTACAGCAATACCTTGCTGTAAATTTCAATTCAAGTGATTTGATTTTTGATTTTTTTTTTGTTTGTTTGTTTGTACATTTATGGTTAATTTATCCTTAGAAAAAAATTAATAAGAAAGTAATTTTATTAAAATTTTATAACTTAAATAATGTCTAGATTCATGTATTGAATCATAAAATTGTTTTGAGAGATGTATCGTATCATAATGTCTGTGTATTATCCAAACCCAATATACCTACATATCACGATGTATCATTTCAGCATTTATTTGTTAGTGTTGTTTGATTTGTTTTGTATATGCCCTTTCCTGCTCAGAAAGCAGAAAGCAGAAGTTCTTGCTTCATAATTGTCACTCAAGACCTGAAACTGTATTAGAAATCTGTATGACGTGTGAAATTTCATATCTGTTTTGACATAGTTGTTAATTTGTATAACAAAATGCAATAATACAACACAATTGATTTAATAGCATTAATTTTTGTATCAGCAAAAAAAAAAAAAAATATTTTCCCTACCTACTGACCCAAGTGTTTAAAGACTCAATCGGCAATGCCAAACCAACAATTTTTTAATTGTGGCCTTATCCACTGATATTTCTTTTGTTCTGATTCTTAGTTTCTTTTGTTCTGATTTTTTGTTCATTGAAAAAAATTGACGCCTTTTCTTTAATTCCTTAATTTTCAAGTTGAAGAGTGCATCCCGACAATCAGTTATGATGTTACAGTGTCCACTGTCCAATCCGACAACTGTGCAATCCAGCACACTGGACTTTCCGACCATTAAAACTTAAATATTTTATTCCCAAAAATTTCTTTATAATATATATAGAATAAAACACTGTATATTCCGACCACTGTACATTCCGAATTCTGGTGCTTTTTGTCGACAAGACTAGATAATTACCTTATGATTTTACCTGGGTAATTCGACATAATTATACATTTGTACCATAATTAGTCGCTAGTTCCATTTGGGCACAAGCTTGGTCTACTTAGTAGTTAATTACATGTATTAGTTTGATGGTGTTTATATAAACAATAAATGAACTGTGTTTGAATTTAAAAATTAGGCAATCAGTACTCTTCGTTGTTATCAATTTTATTCTCGCATTGACAAAATAGCATCCACGCGATAGAAAATAAAAAGGAGTACCTGATATTTAGATTGCCTTTACCTAACAGAATAAATAAGATTTTTTGCTTGAAATTGAAATCAAACATGCAGTCAGAGTCCTTTAAAGTCATGTCTCCCTAAAAAATGAGTACAGCAAACTACTGTATAACATGTAGACAACACACAATTTGAAGACAGCATCTCGTCTAATAGAAAATGTTTCATTTCCGGGTTAATATACACTGAATTAAGTGAGACTGTGCACATAAAAGATTTGCAGGAAGCAAAAAACTTCCACTTTAAGTAGACCCATTAAATTTTAAAATGTTAATGTTGTTTGATAAAAATTAAATCACAATAACAATGTTTTAGAGGTACGTCCCATTTGTTTGAAAAGTCACGAGAGGGTATTAATAGCACAGTCTATCTTGAGAAGTTAACAATGCAGAAAAAATCGGAGAGAAATGTAGTGTAGAAAAAAAAATAAAACCACTGTTTACAGAAGGTAGACAAAATATTTAATATCTACTGTTAGTAAGTAAAATGCTAAAAATTAAATTGCAACAACTCAAAGTGATTGGCAGTTCCATCTGTTTTGCACGTTTAAAAGAAATTATCGTATATTACTACAGAGTTTACTAGTGCTGTAACAAATGATGTGTCTCAAAGAAATGTTAATCAGCCGAAGGTATATTTTATACAACAAAGAAACACACACACACACACACTTTGACAATTAAATACACATGTACTCTAAACCTAACGAAAAATTTTTTTTTTTCTGTATGAAGTCACCTGACATTTATCATAATGCTCAGAAATATTCAACACTGGGTAATCCGACACACTGTCTAATCTGACATTGATTTTATTCCCCTTCAACATGTTGGATAAGACAGGTTTCACAGTATATCAATGACGTAATGTATGCAATATATAAATAACTGTCCCACCTGCCTGCTAATGTGGAAACAAAACTTCCCTCCATAACAAAAGAGTGCACCAATGGAGATCATTCGGCAAACCTCGGCTGATTCCGTCACCTTCATCAAACGTTTGATGAGGTACGAATCGGCCGAGGTGTGCCGAGTGCAATGGAGATAATCTCGAAACTTGTGTAGTAAGATCAACTCCTAACAATGCACCACTTTTCAGCATTTATATTCATTGCTTAAGGGTTTATTCTTACTAATGAAATAAGTTGTGGTGATGCCTATATTTACTGTAAGACATTTGTAATAATGAAGCATTTGTGAGATGTACCCTTTATCAGTTATTTACAAACAAGGCATTTGAAGAGGATGAGCACAGTGCATTTTTTTTATCTGAAGTTAAGGTGATTTTAAGCAAAAAACATTTCTTGTCCATATTTAGAAAGCAAAATATTTTGACTTAGTTTAAAGTTTTATAAACCCATTAAACTTGTTAAAAAATTAAGTATGTAAACTAAATTTTGAATAAAGAGTTGGTCCTCTGTGTAAAACTTGCTCTGTGAGCAAGTTGGAATTACAATGCCTTTCACGATTCCTTCACAAAAAATGGGGTGATGACCCACAATATTAATAAATGTAGATTAAACATCCTATTTATGTCAGTTATTGTATTAAATGAGCTTTCAACCATTTTATGCTTTATGGTTTTAAATAATATTTTATATTTCATAAATTAGACAGTGAAATTTGCAAAAAAAAAAAAAAAAAATTATTGATTTTTAAACTGTTGTTACATTTAGGAATGTGGGTATATGTACATATCCTGTTCAAGTCTTTGTGTATCACATTATATCATGATATACTTCAGACAAATTAGTACACCCGTAGTTTTGAATACAATTCATACATTGATTTCATTTGCCGCAATGGTCTCTTTAATATTGCAATAATGCATTTGGTCTTCCTAATGCATGTATAATGCAGGTACTGTATATACTCTATGTCCAACTTATAGGTGAGTCATAAAAAGATTAGTATTTTGAAACCAGGTTAAAACATCAGAGCATTGATTTGAAATTGTCAATTGATTCTGGCAAAAAGTTGTACCGATTTATAAGCGGGTCAATAGCAAATCCCTCCAAAATAACCTCAAAAAATACAACTGATTTATAGGCAGACCACCTTATAGGCGAGTATATACAGTATAGTTTTTGTTGAATTTTGCTAACAGCAAAACACTATGAATAATGAATTTTGGAAAAAAAGATTATTAAGTTTAATGATGCATGTATGTAGTATAGAAATATTGTTCATATGCCTGTACATGGTACAAATATGCATTTTACAGAGTGTACATATGCCAGAATCATATGGACCGCAGACTGGCCCTGGTGATTCCGTTAAGAAAAAAGAGGAAAAATCAGTGCTTGTGCTCATTGGTCATTGGACAAAGGTAAATAGATTTATTTCATGAAACTAAACATGTAAATTACTAGGATATTAAAATATCACAATTAAAATACATGTACTGATTTATGTATATATGGATATCAGTTGGTCTCCTTGATGCAGTTATATGCATTTGTTATCCCTTTTAAGTGGATCTTTTAAATATTATGCAGTTTATTTAGAAGCTCTTTATTATCTGCACTGTTCACTTTTACAGGGTGTATGCCAGAATTTTTTGAAGAACAGTCTGAATCTGACATGGAAAAAATGAAGAAAAACAGCCTTCCTGTTTATAAATCTACATTCTGACAAAGGGTAATTTTGTTTAGTTCAATTAGAAGTGCACATTTAATTTCAGTTGCTTTCCTTAATGATATATTATAGCATTTTTATTCCCTTATGAACAATATGTATACTTGTAAAGCATGTATCACAAAATCTTCTGCAAACAAAGTTTTGGGTGTATATTGCTTGTTGCTTAACGTCCCTCTTGAGAATTTTTCACTCATATGGAGACGCCACCACTTGCTGGTGGAGAGCTGCAAATTTTTGTCCTATACTCAGCACTTACGGCCATTGAGCATTGAGGGATCTTTATCGAGCCAGCACCTACTGTGACACGGGACCTCAGTTAATACGTCTGTCTCATCTGAAGAACGGGTCTCCACATTCCACAGTGGGATTCAAACTCGCTATGTAAGGATCAGCTTCTTTCTCCGCGACTCTAGAGTAGACGCTCTAACCACTGCATCTGCTCTACTTTGGCAACTTTGGGTGTATATAAGCATGGTTGTATATAAGCATAGGAATCATCATGTCCATCTGTCTGTTCATGTGTTTGGCCACTTGTGTGACTAGCTTTTTTGTTCCAATTCTGGCTGAGATAAATTGATTTAGGTCATCTAAATACAAACAAATTAAGGGAAATTACTATGGTATTGGGATGAACATTTTGGAATACTGTCTCATTGTTCCATTGTAGTTGGTCTCTTTAATGTTGTAATAATGCATCTGGTCTTCCTAATGTATGGCATACACATGCATGGTATGCATGTATAATGTTGTTAAAGTTGGATGAATGTAAAACAGTTCTTGCGTGATGACAAAGGTAAATAGATTTAGTTCATGTAACTAAACATGTAAATTACTAGGGTAATAAAATCTCTCGTTTTGAATACTGATTTACATGTGGAGAGTAGTTGGTCTCCTTAATGCAGTAATAATACATTTGATCTTCCTTATGCATACTGCATATTTATTTTTATATAAATTTAATGGCTGACATGTATGAGGGTTGATCCAAAAGTTTGTTGAATTTCTTCATATTTTATTTATTTATTAGTGAAAGAGGTTGAATACTGATTTAGATGTGGATAGTAGTTGGTCTCCTTAATGCAGTAATAATACATTTGGTCTTCCTTATGCATACTGTATATTATATAAATTTATTGACTGACATGTACGAGGGTTGATCCAAAAGTTCGAGGAATTTCTTCATATTTTTAGGTCACCTGAGTAACTCAGGTGACCTATTGCTATCCGTTTTCGTCCGTCGTCGTGCGACGTACATTAACATTTGAACATTTTTAGCTTCTTCTCTGAAACCGCTCAACCAATTTCAACCAAATTTGGTATATAGCATCTTTGGGTGAAGGGAGAGGGCAAACAAACATTATTTTAAAGATTGCCTTAGCATGTCGTTTATTCTGTGCATTTATGGCAATTAATATTAAAATCGTCCAGACCTGTTAAAACCCATGGATGTCCACAAAAATGTTACTCAAATCAAATTTCATGTTAAAATTCGAAGTAAATATAAATACCTGTGTAATTGTATAATGGTGTAACAAATGTTTAAGAATGCCATATTTAAATTTCAAAAATTGCTCTAAATGTGCATGAGATAAATATCTAAATGCTGTGAAGAAGCACTGTGCTACAATTACCATATTAAAGAAGTGATTTTAATGAAATCTTGTTTCTAAAAAACCTGTAGAAAATTTAAAGAAAATTAGAAATCACGATTCTTACCCCAAAACCATCAGATGGTATGAAAGCCTTCAAACAATGTGTTTTACATAATTCGCATTTCCAAAAACTGTGATCATTAATTTGCCGACCTATTATTGTATGTTCTAATGAAGGAGAATTCATGTGCAAACTTCTACATGAGAAGAATAAAAGTATTGCCGTGTCCTGCAAGAAAACAAAATCACATTATATTATCAATTGCAGATGGTGTCTACGTCTTTCAACTAATTTTGCAACGGCAAGAGTATCTTCTATGTAGTAACTGTTTTGAACCAAGACATCCTACTGACAACTAAGTCCATGATACAGAGCTTTCTACTGCCTTGTTTAGAATTTTACATGTCGAGAAATTTATGGTCAGTGTAATGACGTTTGCAAATCTAAATCTTCATTACGTCGAGTTTAGACTTGCATGTGAATTTCATGGTCCCTGTCCCCCTGGGGCCTGAGGGGCGGGGCTAAAACCACCAAAAATAATGCAATCTTTAAAAATCTTCTTCTTTACTCCTGGACATCAAGCAGTCAAACTGTTCGCATCATTGTAATAAGCATTGAGCCCTCTACCAAAATTTTGAAATTCATGGCCCCAGGATCAGGGGTTCTGGTGCTAGGATGGGGCAATATAGATCATATAGTGAAAGTGCATTATTTCTTTGAAAATCTTATTCTCTGCTCCTGGGTATTAAATAAAGTAACTAAGTACATAGTTATGAAAAGCAAGACTGCCTCTTCCAAAATTGTGAATTTCATGGCCCCAGGGTCAGGGGTTCTGGTGTTAGGGCGGGGCTCTATTGATTATATAGTGAAAATGCATTAATTCTTTGAAAATCTTCTTCTCTGCTCCTGGGTATTAAATAAAGTAACTAAGTACATAGTTATGATGAGGAAGAGGGCCTCTTCCAAAATTTTGAATTTCATGGCTCCAGGGTCAGGGGTTCTGGTGTTAGGGCGGGGCTCTATTGATTATATAGTGAAAATGCATTAATTCTTTGAAAATCTTCTTCTCTGCTCCTGGGTATTAAATAAAGTAACTAAGTACATAGTTATGATGAGGAAGAGAGCCTCTTCCAAAATTGTGAATTTCATGGCCCCAGGGTCAGGGGTTCTGGTGTTAGGGCGGGGCTATATTGATTATATAGTGAAAATGCATTAATTCTTTGAAAATCTTCTTCTCTGCCCCTGGGTATTATTTAAACAAACTAAGTACATTGTTTTGATATTCAAGATTGCCTCTTCCAAAATTGTGAATTTCATAGCCCCAGGGTCAAGGGTTATGGTGAAAAAGGGGGAGGGGCTCTATTGATTATATAGTGAAAAAGCAAAATTTCTTTGAAAACACTCTTTTCTGCTTCTGGTTAAAAAGCAAAGAAGCTAAGCATATAGTTATGATGAGCATGATTGCTTCTTCCAGAGTAGTGAATTGCATGACCCCTGGGTCAGATGTGCTGGTGTAATGGTGGGGCTCTTGATGATATAGTGAAAATGCATTAATTCTGTTAAATAATCCTGTCTGCTCCTTAGTGTTAATCAGATAAACAAAGTGATTACTTACATGTATGATGAGCAAACTTCTGGTCCCAGGGTGAGAGGCTCTGGTGTTTCTAGGTGTGTGTGTGTGGGGGGGGGGGGGGGGGCTCTATTGATAATATAGTGAATCTGTAGTAAAAAATGCATTATTTCTTTGAAAATCTTCTCTGCACCTGGGCATATCAGAGGCAAAACAAGTAAAAGTTTTCATAAAGATTTTTGAACATCTGGCTTCGGGGCCACCAACGTATAAAATCTCAGCTCAAATCTCAACCTCAAATCTTAGATTTCTGCCTCAGCTGAGATTTTCCTAAAACATCATGCCACCAACATCTCTGAGATTCGATCATCTCACGTAAGCTGAGATTTGAGAAAAATCTTGGACTTATTCTCGTTGTTATATACGACCTTTTTTTCTGAAAATGCATGAATTTGTTGAATCAATGATTGAATTTACCTTTTAGTCAGTTATTTATGCAATATTTTAGTGAATATCACGAAAAAAACACATCCCACACTTCCTTCGTCTTTTATTTGTTGTTTCGAGTCATTCAACAAAGAGGATTCCATTTCGACATTTGTGACAATTTTCATTGAACCCCCCGTAAAAAATCCCTACAGAAGAATAACACAAAAACATATCTAAACTTTGTAGTCTTGGTTCGTCTGTCGACATAAACACACAAAAACATACACCGAGGCGTCACTTCCACCATTGTGACGTTACATGTAGCAGGTAGGCGGATCAAGACTATATTCCCCAGACTGATTAAAAGAAATCATTTTTCTTTGTTTGTTATATATGTTAGATATATCTGTATAATTCTTAATTCTCCATAGCAAAAAAAAAAAAAAAAAATATGAGTCATAGGGACTATTTAAATTTAGAATAAACCTGAGTGAATTTTTTTTCTAGCAGATCCACAAAAAAAAAAATGCTCAGTAGGCCTATATCATGTAAATTTCTCACATGCTGTAATAAATTTCGCGAGTATACCATAATTGTGGAAAAACAGCAAACATATCCAGGAGCAGGTAACATACGCATGCTTAGTTTTACAGGATTTAATTTATCAAGGAAATTTCTCGAGGAACTGTTTAATTGTCGGTGAATTTCAGCTCATATCCCCCCAGAAGGAAGAAAAACCGGCTGAAATTTGAACTAAGGGCATGTATAGGGAAGCGGCAAACTAACACATCGCATTTTTCTACGATCCCCTGTGACAAAATGTCTCGGAAAGTCTTCTTTTTTTTTTTTTAGATAAATAATAAACAACGAATATAGCACCACTTGACAAATAATCATCGTTACATTGAAAACCCAAATCAATCTCGCATACGCTCATTGAGTAATGAGAAACTGATTAATTTCTAATTGTATCGTAAATAAAAGTTTCACTGCGTAATGATGTAATTTTTAAAAAAAAAAAAAAGAACCTACGGATCATACTTTTTTGCTTCAAAATGTAAGTTGTCGTACTAAAAAATACTGTTTGTTAAAAAAGAATCTATTCTTGCAAGTACTATAGCTAGCAAGTACATTTGAATAGATGCAGTCCTTCTTGTGATTTATACATGTATTTCAGAATGGTCATAAGTCAAGTTTATTCTTATAAATAATATAAATGGTCAAGGATTTAAGTACGCACAATACATTGTGAGTATAAAGTCGATCCAAATTCTCAATCAAGAATTTTATAGATTTAATTAAGAACCAAATTAGACAGACTGCTATCATCTGTAATAAATAAATGGCG